TGACAGGAGACGGGGCCTCTCAGGCTGGGTGAGCTGAGAGTGCAGGGTGCGGGCCTAGAGCTGACAGGAGACGGGGCCTCTCAGGCTGGGGCAAGCTGTGGTGTTGTGGAGGAGCCGTGTTCTGAACTTGGCAGCAGGGAGAGGCTAGGTGTAAGCTGAAGGACACCAAGGAAGGCAAAGTAGGATCCTAGGCTGGGAAGTAAGGACTGTCCTCCTTGAGCTCTGGGTGACCCTTGCTTCCGTGTGCTGTGTTCTGGTCCTACCTGTGCCAGGTGCCCGTCACCACCCCAGAGATTCTCAAGCAAGCAGCTGTCTTTGTCGGTAGGTGCAGCACACTGTGTGGCCTGTGGGAAGTTGAGCTCAGTGAATTGGATGGGTGAAGAGTGAGTGAGTGTCGGACCCTGAGAACCAAGATTCCTAAACTGTGATCAAGAAGAGGGACCCAGAGGGAGGCAGACGGGTTCTGGGAAGAAGGTACATGCGCAGCTCACCTACCTTTGCCAGACAGGCAGGGTAGGTGTTCATCAGTTAGCATTTCTCACAGGAAATACATTAGAAGGTTCTGGGGTGGTTTGGGGAGGGGGCTCTGCACCCCACGAACATGGCGGCGTAAAAATAAAAATTAGTATGGTCAGTGTTGGGGGTCACCCCCCCCCCCGCCGACTCAACAGCTTGTAAAGAACAGTTGTCCTTGGGACAGAGTGCTGCCAGCAGGGGGCATCTTTGTTGTCTTCGATGGCATGATAGGTGTCACAATGCTCAGTTTTAGTTTCCATGGTATTGCATGGATGGCAAGGATCTGCCCATCCACAGAGGATTTTAAAAGCAACTGAGCGATGAGGTACTGACTTGTGGTTTGGGGGCTGTGGAGGAACATGAGCCAGAATCCATCCTGCAGTGCAGCTCAGAAATAGCAGCAGCATTGATTTGGAACCTTAGCAGCTGATGTTTTAATTCTGTTGTCACCTCCCTGAACTCTGGCCATTGATTTGCACACTGCAGATAAGCAGCTTTGGGTGCTGTCCTTTATTATGGCTCCAGAGCCCAGGGGAAGGCCACACTCACTGGGATCTGAGACTCTCTGAAGAAGGATGTTCTGATGAATACCACAAGTCAAGGCCCCTCTTGCCCAAGGCTGGCTGGAATTACGCCAGACCCCCCCCCCCGCCCCAACACACACACACACAGGCAGGAGATGGAGTAGAAATAATTCAGATTGAAAACCAGTTGGTATTTCAAACCTCATTTCACATTTCAGTGTCTGAAAAGAAACACACTTCTCTCTGTCTGAACATTTTCTCCTTGATCTTGGCTTTTAAATTTACACGTTTAAGGGAACTGTATCACTATTTTTCTTTTCCTGGACTAAATATGTCTTGTTTCCCTTTCCCTTTCAAACTGTCTCCATGATCCTCAAATGAGAACATATTGACGTGACTTTTGTGTTGAAGGCGCTGCCTTTGGTGAGCTTTCCTTCCTCCTGTCTTGTCATCTCTCTCAGAAGATGCTAGCAGCGGAAGGAAGGTGTTTGCTGTCTGTTCTACTTTGTGGGTCATTTCCTGACTTTATCTTCTAACTCTTCCTTTGAAATTTTAATTTCCATCGCTGTATTTTTAATTTCTAAGAGGTGAATAATCTTTTGCAATAGCATTCGATTCTTTTCTTGCAAGTACAGATAAATGCTTAGTACTTTGTAGCTAAGATTAAAATGCGCATTTGAAGCTCTGCGTTGGGGTTTGCTGACAGTGCACACAGGGCCTCAGGTTGGGGGACTCCAAACGTCAGGATCTTACCTGGAGCCCAGGGCTGTTATGAACTGGCTGTCTGGGAAATGCTGGGGGAAGGGGCTGTGGTGGTTCTCACCCTAAGTGTCTAGCCTTTCGCTTACTTGTCTTCCTTCAGAGCAGCACCGCACCCCCGCTGAGCTGCCCCTGAAAGGCCCCATGCCCAGCCCAGCCTCCTCTGATTGAGGTTTCTGGGAGACTCACGCTCCTGTCTCCCCCAGTTATACGCCCTGGGACTCCAGGGGTGTGTTTTTGTGCAGCCTTTCATCTGGCCCTGTTTTCAGCCTTGCCCTTCAGGTCTCCCTGTTATCTGGAGTCTGTGGCTCAAATTGGCTTGCTTTCCATGCCTTTCCTCACTGCAGGCGCTGAGGGCTCAGCTTAGTCTTTCTCCATCACACTTGTCTGACCGCTTTCCATCCCCTGGATTTGTTGGTATCTCTCCTCTGCTGTTGTCTCTTCTCCTGTCTCCTTGACCTTGTGAATCTGTGTCTTTATTCCTTAAACTCCTTTACAAGGGTTTTGGAAGGGAGTGGATATAAACTCATGTGTGCAATTTCCAATGTGTAACCAAACCTTTATCCTAATCAGCCTTAAAGAATTAATTCACAGAAGATCTGAGATGAGACCTTCAGATAATTAAGCAAAATTGTAGTTTATTATGCAGCCATCAGATTCTAGAGAGAAAATGTTAGAAATGTAGAAATTAGCGTTCATCATCTTGTAGGATGATAGAGAACTAGATGATGTATTTTTTGAGTGCTAAAGTTTTGAACAAAATTAGTTCTGTCCAAACAATGTGGTGTGTTACCATACTTCTTCTCTAGACCCTTCTAAAAATCGCCAAATTTCGGGAAATACATTTATTGTGAGCATGCTAGTTCTAGGTGAATTATTGCATATATGTGGGGCGTGTTCCCAAAACTTATTTTACCATATCTCTTCTATGAAAGCAATACAATTTTATTATACAAAATATTGGTAGGAAATAGAAGACAATACCCATTCCTCTCCCCTAAATCCATCAACCAGAAAATCGCTCTCATCCTGTTACATGGGTCAGAATTTGGCCTCCTTCATCCTCATGGTTGTGTCCTTATTCCTTTCCAGGACACCGGGGTTGGGAAATCAAGCATTGTGTGCCGGTTTGTCCAGGATCACTTTGACCACAACATCAGCCCGACTATTGGGTAAGTACTGTATGTTATTCTCCTTCATGTTTTTTCTTTTCAAAGAACTCTAGAGGTCTCCATGTCTGTGTCTGAGCCTTTAGGCAGGGCACGGTTTTCATCCCAGCCAATGAAAAATCAGTCCCAGCTGTAAGACTTTGGCAACTGGAGATTCAGTGACTTCCAAGCAAAGTGCCTAGGCTTATCATCCTTCTCAGTTATTGTTTTCCTTGGCCAGCCTTCCTCATACTGCAACTGAAGGCTATTTCCTTTATCCTCAAGAGCGCTATTTTGCAAATTATGTCTGCTGTATTTCCAGATGGAAGATGATCCACAGGACAAGTCCCCAAAGTTTCTGCTTTAACTTGCCTGCTGAACGTACCCAGGAAATGCCATCCACTCACACATCACAGTTGTCTGAACAGTCTGTGGGGCAGATTTACCTTCCTTTCTGGATTGATCTAAGGCTGGCGTTTCTGCTCTTCTCATGCTTGAGGAGGGGTGCCGGTGGGCTATTTTATTCTCATACCTGGACCTTGGAATGTTGGAGGGTTTTCCTAGTCCATCTTCTCCTTTCTGGTGGATTCTCTGCTGGATGTGCTTTTGCAATGCTGTTTTGCAGGTGGTTGCTTTTCAGACTTTTAGACATCGGCCTCATTGTTTTTCACCCTGAAGATAGACTCTTCGCAGAGAGCAAGGTTTTACTTCCCTTCAGAAGGAACATCTGTAGGATTGATTAAGAGAGACTGTCTCTGTCAGAGGAAGGTGGAGAAAATTTATGGTAGGAAATAAGCAGATGGTCAAGACCAATTAGTTGATAGGCCAGTGGTTGGAGCTATACAGGGGAGAAAATCCACCACATTTTCTATTTAAAAAATGGCTTAAGGAATATGTCCACAAAAGTATGTGTTAAGAAATATGTAGGATCTGAGATTTTACCCTACTTGCAAGGTAGCAAGTGAACTGGCCACAGTTTCATGGATGCTGGCAGAAGACATGAGACATCTGCATCAGAGACAAAGGCAGTGCCAATACTCAGTATGTTATCATTTTATATTGGTTTCCTGACCCCCTTAGGGTGATGTGACACCTGTACATGACACAAGCATATTTTTATGTAAACAACACAAGCCTTCTAGGTTTGTTTGCCAACTACTCCCTTTCCCCCCCACCATGAGGTATTTTCATAAGCATGCTATGATAATTTTTTTTTTACAGCAACATGTAAAAAAAAAAAAACACACAGTGGCACGTCTGAAAATACCTTGCGGAAGGAGGAGATTGTTGGCAAACAAATGTAGAAGATGCACGTTATTTGCATAAAATACAATAGTGGATTCTATTAAAGGAGAGGAGCCCTGAGCTCAGGCAACTGGAGTCTTTTCTCCTGGGCAGTATGCATGTCAGCGTTTGCTCCAGAGGGATACCATGTCTCTGTCTTCCAAGGCTGTTCCCTAAACAAACATCCTGAAAAAGATGATCGGATAAAAAGCCACAGGTGCTTCTGCTTGCAGGATGCACACAACATGAGAGACCTGTAGAGAGTTGTCTCCCAAATGTGTGCAGTCTGTATGTTAGTACAATTTTTATAGAGGAAATACTTTTCACTTTTATCTGTAATGTAATTTTTTTCTCCTTATTTTTTCACTTTGTATTTTTTGATAATAAAAGTAAAACCTGTAAGAATGACTAACTCTGAAGGATGTTTCTAGAAGATGGAGAAAAGACTTCTACCTGCTTTTTAAACTTTTGTTAAAATTTTTACAACCAAACTATTCCTTTCGTAACGATTTAAAACAAATAAATACCATGATAAATACATTAAAGTGTTTAGCATTAGGAGAAATTATTTCTAATAGTTATATCATTTTGGCTACAACCTCTTGGTAAAAGCAAGTTTCCAGATTCCGGGGAGAGAAATGAGCCCCACCCTTGGTGGGGGGAGCGGCATGCACACAGGTGGAGCTGGGCTTTTGGCAGCCATCTTTGGAGAGAACCAGTCAACCACTGTTGACAGTATTTGGTCTAGTAAATGCATTTTGGTGGTTTTGGGATTAAAAAAAAAACACATAGTAGGTCTTTTTTTTTTTTTTTTGGTAATGCTCATGAAAAACTCAGAGCAATACAGAAATATGTAAGGTAAAAAGTGAAGTCAGGATTTTACTAGCTCTCCAGTCCCATATTCTTCTATTTATATAACCCATATTTGGAGTCCAAAGAGCATGTTTAACATATTTGTCAAGCCAAGGTCTTAGGTCACCAAGAAAGACACGACTTACAGCAGGCATTGGTTGGAACAACACTCAACTCATATAAAGAAGAGACAGAACAAGGTCAACTTCAGTAGTGGGTGTTGGTTTGCCAGGGTCAGCAGGTCTCACTCCACAGCCAGTGTAGGGCTGGTGGTCTGCACACACCCCTCTTTTGTGCAGCAGTTGAAGGACACTGTTCCCTCCCTGCTGGGGACAGATATAAAAGTGGGGTTGGCTAAGTGCCACATGATGTGCATGCATAAGCAGAGCAGAGAGATTGTTTACTGAGTGCCCAGAACAGGGTGGGAGTTTCCTCAATAAGGAGAAGAAAGTGGGAGAGAGACAGAGACTCATTTCCCAGGTCTTGCTTATTCTTTTCATGACTGTCTATGCATTTCCTTGACAGAGTCAAGATAAAAGGCTAATTTTTCTAATTATAAAAGTTCATGTTCATTCTTAAAAAAATGAAATTTTTTATTTTATAAATTTATAAAAATAGGAATCATACCATATGCACAGTTTCATATCCTATATTTTCTACTTAGTATATTTGAATATTTTCTTATCACACAATCTCCATAAACATGACAAAATAATATTTTTCCTGATTATAAAAGTATTATGTACTCATCATAAAGAAATTGAGAAGTGAAGAAAACCATGAAGAATATAAAATTATAAAATATAAAAATTACTCATAATCTACCTCCCAGAGGTAACTACTGTAAACCTTTAGTGTATTTTCTTTCATAGTTTTTCCTATGTATATAAAATGTATAGATATATAATTCGGACCACACTGTATGTATAATTTGGTATCTTTTTTATTATTCAGCATTATATTGTGAATTTAATGCCCTACATTGGTCTTTAAAACAGTGATTTAAAAAAAATTTATTGTGGTGAAAATATATCTAGTAAAACATACATCATCTCAGCTATTCCTGTATGTACAATTCAGTGACATTGATTACATTCTTGAAGTTGTGCAACCATTCTCACTGTCCTTTTCTAAATCATTCCACCACTGTTAACATGAATTCAGTGCCCACTAAGCAAAAACACCCTTTTTCCCCCTCTCTCCCACCTCTGATAACAACTAATAATCTTTGGTTTCTATATATTTGCTTATTTCATGTAAGTGAGATATCATACAATATTTGTCCTTCTGTGACTGGCTTACTTTGCTCAGCATGATGTTTTCAAGGTTCATCCAGGTAGTAGCACGCATCAGGACTTCTTATTTCTTTATGGCTGTGTAGTACTCCGTTGTGTGTATATACAGCATTTTGTTTACCCATACATCTGTTGATGGACATTTCAGTTGTTTCACATTTTGGCTGTTGTGAAAAGTGTTGCAATGAACATTGGTGTGTAGGTTTCTGTTTGCATTCCTTCCTTCACTACTTCTGGATATATACCTAGGATTGGGATTGCTGAGTCATACGGCAGTTCTGAGTTCAACTGTTTTCCACAATGGCTGTACCATTTTACATTCCCACCAGCAATGGATGAGGGTTCCAGTTTCTCCACAACCTTGCCAACACCTGTTATTTTCCATTTATTTTGATCATTGCTGTTCTAATAGGGGTGAGGTGGCATCTCACTGTAGTTTGCATCTCTCTAATGGTTAATGATGTTGAAAGTTATCATTTTTAATGGTTATATTTTCTTTTTTAAGGCAGTTAGCTTGTTTAAAACTTGTCACTTTTATAAATAATGCTGTGGTTTCATCCTTGGGCATATATACTGGTATATATCTGGTTATTTCTTTATAAAACATTACATTTCTAGAAATAGAATTACAAGTAGTGCCCCGCTTATAATGTATTCGAGTTATGATGAACCGCACTTACGACTGTCCCCTTTTTTTTTTTACATCTTATCATTAGTAATTATGTACTACATACAGAGTTGCATTGTGTAGTTTGCTGATGTTATCATTCTCAGATGTTCACTGGTAGATGTTCAATTTTATGATTTACTGTTTTCAAAACACTACCTTATAGATTTAGTTTTCTAAACTAAATCAAGGGCTTCAGTTGCTTGAAAACATGGGTCCAGATGCTGATCCCTTTGCTAAAGTCGATGGGCAGATTTAGGAAGCAGTGAGATGTTACCGCAAAATATATGAAGAAAAAAAGAAAAGGACCGTACAGACAGCTCTCACTAATTTTCTGTCTAGAAATACCATCCCCATTCCCAGTGATAATCCAGGTGATCCAGAACCTTCCACAAGTGGAGTAATTACTGCAGCTGACAAAATGCCAGCACCATCCAATTGTTCTTTATCGTTGGAGTAGATTTTTATGATGTGTATTTTTTATGTAAGTTCTAAAATATATTTGTAAGTTTATATGTAATATTTCCAACCTCCAAAGACAAATAAAAAAGATCAGATTTATAAAGATACTGATAATAAAAGACAATAATAATGAAAATTTAAAAAAAAAAAGTATTAAGCTTAGGTCAGAACCAACTTAGGACAGAGTCGTCAGAACGGAGCCCCGTCGTAAGTTGGGGACTACCGGTACTTAGTTAAAGAATAAAAACATCTTTGAGGCTCTTGCTGGATATTGCCAAATTGTTTTTCAGAAAGCTTGTCCCTATTTTTCTATGAACTAACCAGCACTAGGTATTATTTTTAGAAATTTTGTATATATGATTTACAGTTGTTCTTTTCTCTAAACATCGAACATAAATATTTTCTCACACCTTAGATTTTTTTTTCAGAAATGCAATTTTAAATGACTGTGCTAATATATCTGT